CAACCCGGCATGTATCATACTGGTATTAACCAGCAGCGACAACAAGATATTAAGCCCCTGATGAAGCAGCAGCAACAGCAGCCGCAGCAACAACTACAGCAGCAACCACAGCAGCAGCAACAGCAGCCACAGCAACAACAGCAGCAAGCTAAAGCTTATCCAAGCATGCCAGCAGCATCGGTTATTGCGGTAAATTATTTTTCCCGCCTGTTTTTTCTTGATATTCTCTTGATTTCTAGTAGCGCTGAGCGGTAATAAAGTAAAAGATGGCAAGTTTTGCCAAGGCTAGCGCAATTGGTGCGATCACGAAAAACTTCTAGAGCTGAAGGGTATAAAATAGATGAAAACAGAGCAGATTTTGAGGACCGTAGTTTGAGCTAAGTACGCCTCCGGGATTGCTAAAATCTCCTAGAATACTTGTACTATTACTTGGATCATTTGTAATTCATGGCTGATTCTCCAGCTACGCAGTTACAGGGTTATTTTATACTGGCACGCATGGTACTGAGGTTTTTTATTACCAACCCTCGTCTACCACAACGCTGACATTCCTATTAAGAATGATGATTTCTTGGCTGGGTGGCCTCCTTCCACTCTTTCTGTTACTTTGGCCCTTCGCTGATTGGGCCACTGTTCTGGCCCCTTTACTTTTCTCCTCCATTTCCTCACAGGACCTTTGAGGCCCGTACTGCCTTTTACTTTATTTTACTGGATCGCTGGGTGAATGAACTGCTAATGACCGTGTCGCTCGTTTTGTCTGTTTAGGTGTTTATCCAATCTTACGATAGAAAACACCTCTTTGGGCAATCCTTACAGAGCATATGGGCGGTACAACTACAAATTTAAGGGGCATGCCCCCCCCCCCCTCTTTTCGATAGGCAGTTGCATAACTTGATAGGGTACAAAAAATAGCAATTGTTTCTGTAAAATTCCACGTTGATCCCAACGATTGTGCGGGAAGAAGCAGCTGCAAGAACTTCAGCCGTTTCAAGATATCCTTATTATGTAATGTTAATATCGCTACGTCTACCTAGCATTATTTATTGCTGAAATACGCATTTGGCTAGGAGCCAGAATAATTTTGTTAATAATATCAACATTTCCTGTTTTATTTTTGTCTTATTTTTCCGACCGGTTTAGTGTTTTCGATGAGAATTTTGTAAATTTTCAACTGCTTTTTTAGAAATATGGCGATTTATTTTTTTTTCATATTTTTCTTTTTTAGCGATATCCAGTAATGTGGCAAGGAATTATTGCATTGAAAACGAATGAAACTCGAGTACAAATGCATAAAGTAAGTGGAATTTGTTGCGGGAAAAGAACCAATCTCACTGTTAGCAGTCGCACGCGTTTGTAAAATAACATGTATGGTGAAATGGAATATTTTGATTTGTAGCCAAATTTCAAGTTTCGGCTGTAATATTCTATTCGTTAAGGTTGGTGGTAATGCGGAAATGTGCAAACGTTCGTTGGATCAGTTCACAACCACCTCGAATCATATGCCACTGATACGAATCAATCAGAGAATGCGTATGGAAACAGGCCAACTTGAAAGTATGTTTTGTGAATTTTTATTTTTTGAAGGAGCTATTTTTAATGTTTTTTGCAAAGATGCATTTGTCTGGGAACGTTTTTTGGAACGCATTTCTCTGGGATCACTTTTTATGTTTACAGTTAAGGGATGAATTGACATATGCGCAAATCAACGTATTGGATTTAAGATTTGTTTTTTTTGTCACCCTTTTTTTTTACTGTTTTAGGTGTGCAACTGAAAATGATGGATGAGCATTCGTATATCGCGTTGATATGCGTATCATGTGGGCCAAGCAAGGAAGATATCAAAAATCAATCGGAAGTTCTCAAGGAACGGTTTGTCGACTATTTGGAATCGAAGCAAGCTGCTGGAATATGTAATGTCGGAAATGACGTAAGTTGTTATTTGCATTTGAATATCCCGTTTTTTTTTTTTTTGCCTGTTTGATACACGACATTCAAGTAGTGTACTACTCATGCCGGAGATCCGAGATTCTGATTTGCCATTGGGACAGTTGTCAGTTCCTGTATGATTCGATTGTTCGTTTTGATGGTAAAGTGTAAATGTGCTCACCGGTGCAGCAGCGCTGCACATCAACCCAAATTTGAGGTTACATAAACGTTGAATTCATTGGTTATACGTCCACATCCAGTAAACAGCATCAGCTGCGCGAGAGTGATTTGACTGAAAAGAAAGAAGTAGAAGATTACCGGGCCAGTGCTACCAGCATCAGCTGAACTTAAAAACTAGCACAAATTCGGCTATGTTCTCTGGTACCCTCTGAGCGGCTCAGCCTTTCCGTTCATTAAACTTTTATATTTCTGCGCATAGAAGGCCCGATGGCCCAGAAGGAAAATATTGACTGTAAGTTGATGCTGGATGTAAGGCAGTCAGAGTACCATAATTGTTTTCCAGCGAGGAGAAAATTATTGGCATTTTTGTTGATTGAGGTTCAGGCTGTTATTACTATATAAGCTTTTCAATGCCTTCATTTTCCTTCGTAAAATATAGCGTAATCTTGATTTTCTAAGTGAAAAATCAGAGTTAGAATACCAGTTTGTTTTCCAACG